CAGGCAATCCACTCACCTTAGCCTCCCAAAGGCGCGGGATTACAGGCTGAGCCACCGAGCCCGGCTTTTTTTTAAAAATGAGGTCCACCTCATTTAAATAAATGGAGTCTCACTGTCGCCCAGGCTGGAGTGCAGTGGCACACTCACGGCCATCCCAGTGTTGACCTGCTGGGCTCCAGCGATCCTTCAGCCTCAGCCTTCCATGTAGCTGGAACTACAGACGCATGCTACCACGCCCAGCTAATTTTTTTATTGTAGAGACAAGGTCTCACCAAGTTGCCCGGGCTGGTCTCGGACCCCATTGGGTCAGGCAATTCACTAGCCTAGGCCTCCCTGGGATTACAGGCTGAGCCACCAAGCCTGGCCCCTAGCAAGTCTTTATTATAATAGATATCTTGTCTGCTCCACACCATTCCTATTCTTCTGGGAACTGTAATTTTTTTTATATAAACCTACCAATTACAGTAGTCCACCCTTTATCCATGGGGGATGCATCCCAAGACCCCTAAGTGAATGCCTAAAACCATGAATAGCACCATATGTTTTTTCAATCTGATAATCAGGATGGTTTAGGTAGTATAGATAGCATAGATCCAGTGAACAAAGGGATAACTCATGTTCCAGGAAGGATAGACCAGGATCAGCTAAGAATTCATCCTGTGCTGGGTGTGGTAGCTCACACCTGCAATCCCAGCACTTTGGGAGGCAGAGGCAAGAGGACTGCCTGAGACCAGGCGTTTGAGACCAACCTGGGCAACTTGGCGAGACCTCATCTCTACATTAGATAAAAAAATTAGTCAGGCATGGTAGTGTGTGCCTGTAGTTCCAGCTACTTGGAAGGTTGAGGCAGAAGGATCACCTGAACCCAGCAGGTCGAGGCTGTGGAGCCCATGAGTGTGGTTCTGCACTCCAGCCTGGGTGACATAGTGAGATTGACTAAAAAAAAATAAAAATAAAAATAATTCATCATGCTACTCAGAACAGCATGCTATTTAAAACATATGAATTGACCAGGTGCAGTTGCTCATGCCTATAATCCCAGCACTTTGGGAGCACACAGGTTCGAGACCAGCCTGGGCAACTTGACAAGCCCTCATCTCTACAGTAAGTCAAAAAATTAGCCGGGCATGGTGGTGTGTGCCTATAGTTCCAGCTACTTGGAAGGATCACCTGAGCCCAGCAGGTTGAGGCTGCGGTGGCTGTAAGTGTGCCCCTGCACTCCAGCCTGGATGAGAAAATAAAACAGAAATTTAAAAAATGGTTTTAAAAGAATAAAAGCCTACCCCTTGTTATTTTCGAGTCAGAGTCTCATTCTGTCACCCAGGTTGGAGTGCAGTGGCACACTCACAGTTACTGTAGCCTCAACTTGCTGGGTTCAGGCAATCCTTCAGTCTCAGCCTTTCAAGCAGCTGGAACTACAGGTGTGTGCCACCACGCCTGGACACATTTTTATTTATTCTAGAGTTGAGGTTTTGCCAAATTGCCCAGATTGGTCTCAAACCTGGGCTCAGGTAATCCTCTCACTTCTGCCTCCCAAAGTGCTAGAATTACAGGCATGAGCCACTGCACCCAGCTTATTAATTCAATTTTAAGAGACATCAATTTTTAACTTAAGTTCATAAACTATTCTTTTGTCAGCCAAGATTATATATTAAGTTTTTTTTCCTAAGTTAAGAAGAGAAAGCAACACATCATACACAAAAAAATTTAATTATTTGTATAGTGGTTTTTACATTTTACATAGCCTCTTTCTGTGGCCATGTGAGGCCATTTGGTCCACAGAGACCCACATTCTAGAGGAAAGCTCAAGAGTAGAGCTGCGACTTGCCCAAAATGGGGCTGTGGAGCCAGGACTCAGAGCGGAGCTGGATGACTCTGACTGTCAAGGTCTTCTCTCCTTCAGCTGCCCACTGCTGTCACCCAGGAGGAAGACAGGGCTAACTGCTGTTTTCAGGCACCTGGATCCACGCTCCTCTTCACAGTCCAGTTTCTTATGACTAAGCGATGCGCTCACAGGACAACCCTGTTCCGGTTCTAATGGACAAACTTCATTTTCAAAAGTTAACTTTACAGCATCAGAAAAGGAGACCCTTCACTTATGTTCATTTTTTCCACATATACAAGAGACAGCATCTGTGCTAGAATCCAACAGGACTTTATTTGACACAGAATACAATAAGGCTGCAGGAAAAGCAAACTGAAAAGACAAAGCGGAAAAGACACAGTTTTATCTATTTTATAATTAAGTTACAGGAGGGCAAGTCATTAAGTAACAAAACAGTTAAGCTTGATGGAAGAATTCTTTTTTCTAGTGCCCATACCTGAAAGAGAAATTAAATTACTTTTATTAATCCCATGTTTGTGACTATAAAACTTGCTTTAACATACTGAACAGTTTTACTTTTGAGTCAGAGCCTCACTCCTTCACCCAGGCAGGGGTATAATCATGCAGGGGTATAATCATGGTTCACCAGTCTCGACCTTCTGCTTCAGCCTCCCGAGTAGCTGAGACTACAGGCATGCGCCTGTATTCGGCTGATTGTTTTTTTTTTTTTTTTAAGAAACAAAGTCTCACTATGTTGCCCAAGCTGGTCTTGAACTCCTAGGTTCAAGCAATCCTCCTACCTTGGCCTCCCTAAGTGCTGGGATTATAGACATGAGTCACCCACACCCGGCCTAATATGAGCAACTTTATTTATTTATTTATTTTTTGAGTTGGAGTCTCACTCTGTCGCCCAGACTGGAGTGCAGTGGCCGCTCCCGGTCACCACAGCCACGACCCGCTGGGCTCCGGTGATCCTTCCGCCTCAGCCTGCCAAGTAGCTGGAACAGGCTGAGCCACCGAGCCCGGCCTTATTTATTTATTTTTTGAGTTTGAGTCTCACTCTGTCGCCCAGGCTGGAGTTCAGGGGCACGCTCACAGCCACCACAGCCTTGACCTGCTGGGCTCAGACGATCCTTCCACCTCAGCTTTCTAACTAGCTAGAACTACAGGCACGCGCTACCACGCCTGGCTAATTTTTGGATTTATTGTAGAGATGAGGTCTTGCCAAGTTGCCCAGGCTGGTCTCGAACCCACGGGCTCAGGCAATCCTCTCACCTCAGCATCCCAAAGTGCTGGGATTATAGGCATTAGCCACTGTGCCTGGGCAATATGAGCAACTTTAGATATAACTTAGAAAAGATGTGAGTGACCACAAGTATGCCCAGAGTCGGGTAACAACACTGGCTTCTGACTGCCACTGTGAATCCCTTTTCATCTCACCACTCTTCATAACATCTCACCTACTAAGGGCCTTCTCTGTGACTCAACCATACCCACCTGACAGGTGCCAGACAGTTTGAGCTTTTGGGCTCCCCTGCCTCTGGCAGTCAATTTTATTTCTTGTTTTTTTTAATTATAAAGATGTGGGGTACAATTCGGGGTTAGGTACACAAACGTTGATTATGCAGGTACCCTTGTTGATAAGGTGTGCCCCTCCCTCCCCTGGCAGTTTCCCTCAACTGCCAATCTGCCAATCCCACCCGCCCTCCCTCAGCAGCCAATGTTCAACTCAACTCCAGTACTCAGGCATATTTTGGGTAAGGCACATACTGAGAATAGCAATTGAACAAACTTCAATCTATCATCAGCTCCAATGACAGTTCTGATTACATTCAGCTATACAGAAAGAGAACTGTGGAAAAGCTAGGCATGGATTTCAGGGGGTTTCTGATTTCCTCAGAAGCCAACATTTGGATCTAACAAGATTATAAAAATAAACAACGACAAGAAATTTCTTCCACATAAAAACAAATTTTTTGAACATAAGATGCCTCATTATTATCTTTTTTTTTTTGAGTTGGAGTCTCACTGTCACCCAGACTGGAGTGCAGTAGCCGCTCCCGGCCACCGCAGCCTTGACCTGCTGGGCTCCGGCGATCCTTCCAAGTAGCTGGAATTACAGGTGCGCGCTACCACGCCCGGCTAATTTTTGATTTATTGTAGAGATGAGGTCTCGCCAAGTTGCCCAGGCGGGTCTCGAACCTGCGGGCTCAGGCAATTCACTCACCTCGGCCTCCCAAAGGCATGGGATTACAGGCTGAGCCACCGAGCCCGGCTGTCTTAATTGATCTTTTTGGGCAGTTAGCCTCTGATTAAAATAATTTGTTATATGGATAGAAACCTGGGCGTTAGAACTCTGGATCGCAGCTTCAATAATCCAGAAAGACTATTAGATCCCTTAAGTACTTCTCATAATAAATGCACTTGAGGCCACGCTCGGTGGCTCAGCCTGTAATCCTAGCACTTTGGAAGGCCGAGGTGAGTGGACTGCCTTGAGTCCGTGGGTTTGAGACCAGCCCGGGCAACCTGGCGAGACCTAGTCTCTACAATAAATAAAAAATTAACTGGGCATGGTAGCATGCGCCTGTCGTTCCGGCTACTTGGAAGGCTGAGGTCGAAGGATTGCCAGAGCCCAGCAGGTCAATGCTGGGGTGGCTGTGAGTGTGTCACTACACTCCAGCCTGGGCCATAAAGTAAGACTCCACCACAAAAACAAACAAAAGAAATACACTTGAATATTGTCCCCAAAAAAGATGGGCCAGGCACGGTGGCTCACTTCTGTAATCCCAATACCCTGGGAGACTGAAGTAGGAGAATCACTTGAGTCCAGGAGTTCAAGACCAGCCTAGGTAACAGTGAGACTGCCTCTCTACAATTTAAAAATTTGCAGTCTGGGTGCAGTGGCTCATACCTATAATCCCAGTACTTTGGGAGGCCAAGGTGAGAAGACTGTCTGAGCCCATGGGTTCGAGACCAGCATGGACAACTTGGCAACACCTCATCTCTACAATAAATAGAAAAAATTAGCCAGACGTCGTGGTGTGCACCTGTAGTTCCAGCTACTTGGAAGGCTGAGGCGGAAGGATCACCTGAGCCCAGCAGGTCAAGGTTGTGGTGGCCGTGAGCATGCCACTGCACTCCAGCCTGGGCAACAGAGTGAACAGAGTGAGACTACAACTCAAAAAAAAAAAAAAATTATGCTGGGTGTGGTAGTGTTCACTTGTAGTCCCAGCAACTTGGGAGGCTGATGTGAAAGGATCATCTGAGCTCAGGAGTTCAAGGCTACAGTGAGCCATGATTATGCCACTGGGCTCCAGCCTGGATGACAGAGTGAGACCCTGACTCAAAAACAATAAACAAATAGATAAAAGCAAAAGTACTATACCAATAACAGATTTCCAAACATTTTGCAAACTAAAAGAATTCTATTTCTGCCAGGCATGGTGGCTCACACCTATAATTCCAGCACTTTGGGAGGCCAAGGTGAGAGGATTGCCTGAGCCCACGGGTTTGAGACCAGCCTGGGCAACTTGGAGAGACCTCATCTCTACAATAAATCAAAAAATTAGCCAAGCATGTTGGCACCTGCCTGTAATTTCAGCTACTTGGAAGGCCGAGATGGAAGGATCCCCTGAGCCTGGCAGGTCAAGGCTGGGGTGGCTGTGAGCATGCCACTGCACTCTAGCCTGGGCGACAGAGTAAGACTCCAAATCAAAAAAAAAATAAAAATAATTCTATTTCTTTTGTTTTTAAACCTAGGAATATCCTACTAATAAAGACATATTTAAGGCCTGGCGCGGTGGCTCAAGCCTGTAATCCTAACCTTTGGGAGGCTGAGAAGAAAGGATTGTCTGAGTCCACGGGTTTGAGACCAGCCTGGGCAACTTGGTGAAACCTCATCTCTACAGTAAATCAAAAAATCAGGCATGGCGGTGCCTGTCTGTAGTTTCAGCTACTTGGAAGGCTGATTTGGAAGGATCACCTGAGCCCAGCAGGTCAAGGCTACAGTGGCCGTGAGTGTGCCACTGCATTCCAGCCTGGGCAACAGAGAGAGACTCCGACTAAAAAAAAAAACCAAAAAACAAAAACAAAAATAAAAAATTAGAAATTCTAAAGTCCATCAATATAGACTGATTTTTTTTTTTTTTTTTTTTTTGAGAGTCAGTGTCTTGCTCTGTTGCCCAGGCTGGAGTGCAATATCATGATCACAGCTCACTGCAGCCTCAAACTTTTGGGCTCAAGTGATCCTCCTGCCTCAGCCTCCAAAGTAGCTAGCCCTACAGATGCTTAACACCATGGTCAGCTAATATGTTTAATTTTTTGTATAGGTGGGGTTTCCCTATGTTGCCCAGATTGGTCTCAAACTCTTGGCCTCAAGTGATCCTCCTGCCCTAGGCTCCAAAGTGTTGGGATTATAGGAGTGAGGCACCATGCCTGGCCTTAATTTTTTTAAAATGATGGTACATCTACATAAATGTTCTGCACCTATTAGAAAGGAGGTAGTTTGACATTGTGGAAATGGAAAATGTTCAAAAGGTATAAAATGAAAAAAGGCGAATGAATGTATAGAATGCTCACATATATGTTAAGAAAAAGACATGTGTATGTATTTATATGCACCCATATAAATGCCAGTACATACATGGAGATAGTCAGAAAGGCTACTAAGAGGCTGCTGCTGATGGTTAGCTTCAATGAGCAGAAGTAGGGGCTTAAAGTGAGAGACTCAGGCCAGGTGCCAAAAGTCTGTAATCCCAGAACTTTGGGAGGCCAAGGTGAGAGACTGCCTGAGCCCAGGGGTTTGAGACCAGCCTGGGCAACTTGGTGAAATCTTGTCTCTATAATAAATCAAAAAACTAGCTGGGCATGGTGGCATGCACCTGTAGTTCCAGCTACTTGGAAGGCTGAGGAGGAAGGATCGTCTGAGCCCAGCAGGGCGAGGTTGCAGTGGCCATGAGTGTGCCACTGCACTCTAGCCTGGGCGAAAGGGTGAGACTCTGACTCAATAATAAATAAATAAATAAAGAGAGAGGTTCATTTTCTGTGGTATATCCTTCTGACTGTCTGAATTATTAAAATTTTACCAAGTCATATTTTATCCATATAATAACAAAAATTTAATCAAGATAGACATAGGCCAGGCATGGTGGTTCATGCCAACAATCCCAGCATATAATCCCAGCACTCTGAGAGGCTAAAATGGGAGAACTGTTTGAGTCTAGTTCAAGATCAGCCAGGGCAACACAGTGAGACGCTGTCTCTACAAGTAATAACAAAATTAGCCAGACAAGATGGTGCCGCCTTAGTCCCAGCTACTTCAGGGCTGAGGAGGGAGGACTGCCTGAGCCTAGGAGGTCAAGGCTGCGGTGAGCTGTGATCGTGATCGTGCCACTGTACTCCAGCCTGGTGAGAGTGAGACCCCCAACTCAAAAAGAAAAAAAAAGACATAAATGCTATATCAAAATTTACCAGTATGAGATAAAGCAATGAAATATGATAAGTAGATACACGTCTTGCCCAAAGCTACCTAAAATTAGGTAGCCCATGGAACCTCATTAGGGATGTAATTTTGGAAATATTTAATTAATGTTAATTAATTAATTAAATTAACATTTTACAGACTCCTACGTTTTCTACTTTCATAGTCCCTAGAAGGTTGGGAAACCCTAGGCTACCAACATCTAATGTTGGTTAATACTTTGTGCATATTCCAGTAGATAACTCCTAGCTTAATTAGCCAAAGTCTAGTTTTAAAAAAGAAGGCATGGTCCATGTCTCTGTCTTCTAAGACAGTGCTCCTTCCAACTTTAGGTAAGTTAGAGAATGGCACTGACCACAAAACCCAGTCTGATAATGTCAAAACAATCAGAGATACCTACTTTTGGAATTCCCACTCTCTGTTGTCCAATGGACACACCTGTCGTGTTTTGAGCCAACGAGAGATGCAGTGGAAGTGAAAAGCATGCTGAAAGAAAAGATACATTTTATTAAAAATAACTCTGTGCAGGCTTTGCCATATACTGACAATATGTCCCACAGGACGGTGGAGTGGGTTACATACAGCAGGCTAAAAAGAACAAAAGGAGACAACAATGAGAAGCAAAAGTTCAACAACTGATTACACCTTGGCACCTTGGTTAGGTACAAAGATATTTCCAACAAAACATTTGTTAGAAATGTTATTACTGCTGAAGAAAATAATTTTCTGTTGTACCAGTGAGCTCTCTCTTCTTGTCTTTAAGGGAATATGGAAGGTGGCTCTCTGGAACCATTCAGTCTGGAAGGGGATGCTTCCACTTTTCTTGGGAAAGGAGGCCCCTGACCACATGCAGGCTCCAAACTTCCTCATTCTTGAACCCCAGCTCCCCCCACCCACCCTGCCTCCTGTCTTTGAAGAATGGGAACCCCAGGAGCAGAGCCTTCTCTCCAGCCCTTGACCATTGCCGCCCACCCAAAACTGAGACAGGCCTTCCCCAACCTCCCAACACCCAGCTTTGCTCTGTTCAAAGGAACTTTACTTCTAGATTTAGTCACAGACTTATTGATATTACAAGAGCTCAGTACTCTAAAAGCCTTTAATGGATGAGAGACTTTGTCTTAAAAAGGAATTGAGAATTTTTAAAAATTAAGGTAAAAGGAAATATTATGAGGGGCAAAGAGTACACAAGCCACTAAAGGAGCATCAAAGGACTTATTTCATGATCAAGACAGCAAGTACAGACAAGAATACCAAGAACACTGGTAACTGACAGGAAGCAAGAAGTTGGCTTCAATTTGGGAAAAAGAAAATCTGTGTGCAGCTTTCTGGTGTGGGTTAATAACATGCAGATGATAACCACAATCTCTCTACTATGAACATTTATTCGCCTCCCCCTGCTCATAAGGGTACTAAGACAGAGCAGCAAGTGTTCCTCCTTATTTCATCTGTGACCAGTGGGCTGAGGCGGGGCACAGGGGAGAAGTACTGACACCCCAACAAACAACAGAAGCTTTACAGGCTTGATTTAACAGTTTTGAAATCTGGTCAGTATGTTTCCTAAAGCATGCACAGAACTTAAATAATCATATAATATGGATTATTATCTTGTGAACTGCCTTTTGACAAAAGCAAAAACATTATTCAGTAACTAAGAGGATCCACAGTGCCTGACAGAGAGGAACACGACTCAGGGTGGCACACTATGCGTACTCAACAGGACCAATATTCTCCCAGAGTAAGAGCCTTTTGGAAGATCCCTTTCTGCTGACTCTCAAACAACCACTGTGAGAAAAAGATGAATTTCCAAAAGGCAGAAAGTGGAAACATTTTTCTCAACCATCAAGTATTGGAAACAGGCTCATGTAAGGTGTATTTGAGACACCCGTCTCCCCCTACCTCTCCCACTAGCCACTGTGCAGCACCACAGCGTTCTTGTATTGCCCAACTATCTCAGAAAATACTAAGTGCTGCGGGGACAGAAGGTTTGTAAATGAGATGTCAGGGAGATGACAGTACCCCTGAACATTTCTGATCCCAACCTTCCTGTTAACAATCTAACATATACTCATGGGTATATTTAACAAAGTACAATTTACAAAAGATAAATTTATAGTATTTTATAGTTTACAGAAGATGTTGACATATGTTACCTCATTTGAGCCTCACAGCAACTCTGGCAAGCACATGACAGATATTATTATCTTCATTTTACACACAGGAAACTGAAACCCAGACAAGTTAAGTGACTTGCTTAATTCCTGGAGCTGGTTTGTAAAAGACCTAGAACTAGAACCCAGGACTACCCCAGAGGCTGCTGCCACACCATGGTGGCTCTCCTTTATGGCAGGCTCTCTGAGTTAATCTCTCTCCCCTCAGCCTAATTTAAGAAGTCCACTCACTTTTCCTTCCACACAAAGAAACATGGTTCTTAGTATATGTCTGAATGCCAGGGAGAGCAAAGAGCCCAATATATTTTCTTTAGCCCCTTAAATGATGAAAGCTGCCCCTTGGCCAATGCTGGCTACTCTGGGTAAGGAACAGAGAACCTCATCTCAACAGGAAAAAAATACTGAAAGCTAGCATTTATTCAGTAACCTCCTCCCCACCCCAAATCTGTACGTATATAGATTTTTTTTTTTTTGAGTTGGAGTCTCACTCTGTCGCGCAGACTGGAGTGCAGTGGCTGCTTCCGGCCATCGCAGCCTTGACCTGCTGGGCTCCGGCGACCCTTCCGCCTCAGCCTTCCAAGTAGCTGGAACTACAGGCGTGCGCTACCATGCTCGGCTGATTTTTGATTTATTGTCGAGATGAGGTCTCACCAAGTTGCCCAGGCGGGTCTCAAACCCACGGGCTCAGGCAATTGACTCACCTCAGCCTCCCAAAGGTGCGGGATTACAGGCTGAGCCACCAAGCCTGGCTTATTTAGATTTTTTAACAAACATTTTTGTTTATCTGCCAGGAGCTGTTCTAAGCACTTTTTAACATAAATCATCTAAATCTAATTACAATTCTATGTGATCTACTATTAGCTCCATTTTACATGAGGGAACCCATGATTAGAGATGTTAAATCCTTTGCCTGAAGTCACTTAACAAGTACATTACAGAGACAAGGAATAGTGGTCTGATTCCAGAACCTCTTAGTCCCGTGTCATGAGCTGTAGGTCCTGTCCTCTTGGCACAGGGGGTCCAGACAGGACAATTTTAGCTCATATGACTGGGACTACACGTTTTAAGAATGAATTTTTAACACATGCTAGAAATAACATACTGATGTTTGTTATCCTTCACAGCTGTCACACTCTGGAAGGCTGTACATTCAGTACAATGATGCTGCACAAAACATTTCTGGCATGAGCCATGCTAAAAAAAAAAAACTTAGCCGGGCTCGGTGGCTCAGCCTGTAATCCCGTGCCTCTGGGAGGCTGAAGTGAGTGGATTGCCTAAGCCCGCGGGTTCGAGACCCGCCTGGGCAGCG